CTTATTGCATGCCTAAATAATGCAGTGGTCTAAAATAATAACAAAGCTGCATTTTGTAGTTTAATTTCAACTGCAAATCATTAGTTCATGTTGTCTCATGTAATTTAATTTCTTCTTCTTGTGGCTGAACTGGTCAATTATTCCTCAGTGCCAATGAAGTTCATCTCTTCTTTGATCATGCCCTGTGGGGTTCTGCAGTCTTGCCTTCTAACAACATTTGGCACTAGTGAATTTGCAGCTCAGATAATTACCTTAGCAGGTAGAATATATTGAAAGCAAACAAATGAATTAAAATTTCTTTAAGAATACGTTAGAATTTCAGTTTGTTTTTCCAGGAATTTCGAGCTGGGTAGTAAGAGTGTATTTCTGTATTGTTTCACCTTATAAATGTATATTGTCTGCATTATGTACTTCCCATGATTCTAATTACAGGAAAAATGTTAATTTCTACAAATTCAACTTTTATGGCTTTTCTATACTTCAACGTCTACTTTGTGGCAGTTTTTGCTTGATGTGGAAAACCAGCTGCTGTGCTGTTTGAGGAACAGATCATCTATTAGATTAGTTAGTGAACTTTGACCTCTTGAAGTGCAGCCGGTACCATTCTGTCTTTTTCATAGAGCTTGAATGGTATCATCAACATCTGTGGCGTCAACAGAGAGATTTCTCAGTCACACACAGCTTCGACAGTTGACTTAGGCCAGATACTGTACACCATGTAGTGATTGCTGTCATTGGGCCCAGTTACAAACATGTACTTAAGGTTTAAGCATTTTGGTTTCTTTTTCTCAAAAGGAAAACATATATGCTCTGTTCTGGCCATCCTAGCAATTAAGAGTCTGGATAAATGAATGCTGGATGAAGGCATAATATTTTTTTCTATCTATAAACTGTTTACCTTGCAAATACTCTAGCAGCACAATCTGATTCCTTTATTTAAGGATGGTATTTTGGTTCTCTGCAGCAATGTTTTGACATGTGAAACACAAAGGAGACAAATTATAAAACTGGAAGCTTAACAACAATCTGCTATAAAAATAAAAGAGAGCTGTCAAATATTATCAGTTTGAATTTAATTCCATTGTTCAGAAAGACATACAATGTAAACACTATTGTTAGAGAAAAAAATAACAAGACCAAAAATGTTAATTTTGTTTAAACAGTGTAACCAGTACGTTAAATTAATTTCCTCAGGTAGCAAATGCCAAGTCATTGTCTGTGCAGCCATGGAGATGTGGCTCCTGTTAGTAGTTTTATAACATTACAAGCCATTTTTTTAAAAAAAGGGGTGATGATTTTTTTTTTACGTTGATAGTGTTCAGTGAGAACTCCATTTTACCTATTAAAGTTATTATTACTATGCATTACTTTTACTATAGCATGTTTATTTGTACTTAATGAGATTGCATATCTCTCTAAAAACTGAGTCTTGGGAGAAGCAGTGGGCAAGAATGAATTATATCTATACTGTATGTCTGCGCAAGAATGCTCAATGAAGGATTTCATGGTTGTGGAGATATCACTCACCCCAAAATTAAATTTTTACAACAGCAAACATGCACAAATATAAGAAAAAATAAAGTGACAAAAAGAATCAACGGGGCTATGTAAGAATCTGACTAAACTGCAAGATAAATTTTAAACTATGTGAAAATATACAATGCTTTATTTAATCACACAAATCATAGTATTCAGAATAATATGAATTGAATCTGTTGTCTACATGCCATGTCACAGGCAATCATTTGCATGTTGTTAAAATATGAATAACATTAAATATAGTTAAATCAAGTTTCTCCTGTGCTTTATACCTGAGAGTAACTTGAGAGTACTTTCATGGGTATGAGAAATAATCCTACTCTTTCATACAAAATGACTCAACCCAATGAAATACGAATTATTTTCTGTCTGCTTCTTTTATTGTAGCAGTTTTATAGAAATAAATGAATATTGATGCCATATGAAAAAGCTGTTAGACAATGCCACTATCCAGAATGCTATATGATTAAGACCTGCTTAGAAGTGCATTGTGAATCCAAAAACACTGTTTTAGTGAAGCTACAAATCTTTAGCCTGTAAACTCTGAGTTATCTCACCTTTGGGGTGGAAGAAACGAAAACAAACCGGAAAGTCACTTCTTTTCCAGCAGCTTTTCTGTGTTGTGCATTTCCCCCTTTTGATCAGAATTGAGAGCAGATCCGCTTCTCTTAGATATCTTCTGCTCAGTCTAAAATTGAAGTTGTAATGATGGAATACGAGTGCAGAAAATCATTATGACAAATAGCTTTCCATCGACCTTGTCTTCCGAAGCACCACTTCAGCATTTCCAAACAAGCTTTAAGTTAAAATAATTTGATTTTATCCAAACTAGATTAATTGCACTTTAAGATGCATTAGATCTGTGAAATTTGTTAATAAGATAAATAATTAACAGTTCCTTTGATTGGTTCTTGGTGGATATGCTTGTAGGTCTTTATTACAATTTCAGTGCTTTTAAAATCCCATTTAGTATGGAATAATAAATTATTATTAAGACTAAGGACTGAAAGCATGTGTTGCAGAAGCAATTTTTGGTAATGTTTTTCACTTCTATGACTTGAAATCTGGCAAAACTATTATTTTGCCTAGGAATACCTATTTTTGTTTTTCTTTGCAATTTTTTCTTTTGTTTTTTAGAACACTTTATTTTGCTACATGATTTAAATATGTAGCCGCTATCTGTCTTTATATCTTTATATCTTCATGTCCTTTTAGAAATGAATAACTTAGGACTGTGTAAGAGCCACACTGATTTAGATGGGTTCTTGAATGCTGTATTGTCTGACACAAAATGTGCCTTTTTTCCTTGTTATCTTCCTCTTCAGGAGGAACTTTCTTGCTGCCTTTCAATGAAATAAAAAATAAACTTACCATAGAGCTGAAAAACTCCAGAGTAACCATGTTTTATTGTTATAGTGATCCTTTATTAAAGATTTAATTTGATTAACCCCTTTGTTTCCCAGTTTAGCAATTCAGACAATAAACAATGCACTCTCAGCTACAGACAGCCATAACCATATTGTTCTTATAATGTAGATAATGAGTTTGGGATGTATCTTTTGTTTCATTGTTTCATTAAATTAAATAGACATCATAAGTCTGAGTGGCAGAGTAGTAGGAAGAAAATAAATACAAGTGTTAAGATCTGGATGGTCTGTGATGAAGGAGGGCACGTTTAATTTAATTTTTAATTGAAAAGAAAATCCCATTTATTAAGGCAATGACAAACATGTTTAATAAACTCTGCATGATCCTTTTAAAACTACCACCCCATTTTTGCAGTCACTCAGATTATCCACTTCTGAAAAACACTGACAGGCCAATGCACAAATTTTGGGTATTGTCCTCCGAATTTTAGGTGTGTACCTTTTAAACCCTTCTGCGCTGTTTCTGCCCCCTCTGCACCTCCCCAAACACACACACACACATACACTCAACCCCAGGGGGGATTTCCACCATATGCTCCCATCGTTGGCAGGAAAATGATAAAAGTATAAATTGCGAAGTTTTGATGTGTGCAGTGCCATAATTGTGTGGGCAGACAACAAAGCGAACGGATTCGCTCCCTGTCTCCATCCACTTTTGTTTGCCATCTGTCCTGGGTCATTCTGACGTCTGCCAGCTGAGACCCCCTTCCTGCTCCTGCTTGCCCCGTTAATCAGATGCTCGTGTCTCCCTTTAAAGCTGAAACAATAAATTGGCTTTGTCTGACGCCCATGTATAGCCTAAGGGGGCTCTCCCTATCCTACCCCAAACTGCCAGTGTGACGTGAGCCCCAGATGGCCTCCTCCCTGGAAGAGCGCTTTTCTTTGGGAAACCATTGTCCTGCAAATTACAGGTCGCTTGTTCTTTACAGTACAATGCAAAATGTTAATCTGAGCCAGTTTACACTCATCCCTGTTTTAATAAAGAGTTATGCAATAAAGATGGGTTTGTGACAGCTTTCCTGGGAGAGAAAAAATCCCTTTATCCCTTAAATCTGAGGCCTAATTCTGTATTGTCCATTACTTACATTTCGTTATAAAATGTGTCAGACTCTTTACCTAGGTCTAATGTCACAAAACTGTTTAGATTCATTTAGAAGTGTAATTTTATGTAATAGCATTTTTATTGTCTTTGTTTATACGTTTATACTATTTAGACCTACGTGGTTGCGTTTTAAAGCGTTTTAGATTCAGTGTAGCTAGAAAAACAAAGTTTCAACTGTGCTGTTTGTTTTATAAAGTAGTTTTCAAAATATTACACGAATGTCAATGCAAACAAATCAAGTAAAGGTCTTGTAGTCGCTTCTGTTAGCAAACGGGATGAACGGATACGAGTGGTGAGTACTATTACCCCCACTGGGGTAATAATTTTTCAAGATAATCTTTTTTTAATCCTTCTGAAAACAACATGTTGCAAATATCGCACGCAATCAAGTGGGTTTCTTAAACTAATCCTGAAAGGAGTTAGGCTAAAAACATCTCATTGGCTTGCCTTTTATATAAATATACAAACTTTACTTCTTTGCTGAATTCGTGTCTTCCCTTTACAATGTTTTCGTTAGAAAGGGGGAGAAAACTATCCTTTATCTCTCTTGAATTTGTTTTTTGGTTTCACGCAATTGTTGGATATATATATATAACTAAAATTACGCAATAGTACAATAATAACCCATATACAAACCAGTCTGTACATACAGTAGCTAGGATCTCAAAGGATAATATAGGGGAGAAGGGTAGCGGGATGTTGCTAGTTAAAGAAAAGGGAAAAGGTGTTTTTGTACTAGTTCACTCCAGTACAAAAGAGGTTGTTGGAAAAGACGAGCCATTTGCATGGGGAAAGAGGGAGAGAGGGCGATATATTATCTTTTTGTAGTCTGCTGAGCGGTTGATCTGTGTTTGCGAGGAGGGGGGGAAGGGGCGTCACCATCTGTTCCTAATTCCCTGGCCTCTGCATTACTAGCCCTCCGTGATGAGATCAGCAGGATCAGCTTTCATCATGGGGAAGTGCTTTCGCTCCCCTCACAGGCTTTTCGCACTGGAACTGCTGAGAGAAACGGAGGAGGAAACAAACTAACTCCGCTCCTCAGACACCACAGCAAAAGCCAGCAATCCAAGGGGAATCCTCAAGGTACATTATTAGGTTTTCGCTTTTTTTTTTCTTCATGCTGTTTTTTTTTTTCCGTGATGAGGTGGAAGACGGGGTAATTATTTAAGACTAATTTGCTGAACAGTTCCCTAGCTGCGCTGAGTCTGGCAGCCTTCTCCCATAATCAGCTTGTGTCCCACAAAGCGAGCCCAGAGGAGAGTGTTTGTGTTTATGCTTTGACCGTTCGGGGGACCGACTGTGCCGCACAGATGTGTTATTCCCGCAGCTTCTGGACTTTTTTTAAAGTAATTGAGAAGACTACCTAAACCCAACAATCTGGTGTTTTTTTTTCTTCTTAAACCTCAAATGGTACTAAGGACGATATTGGACGCACCGAATTCTCGGAAGTTTTCTGTCTGTGGACAGCAATTGTAACATATAAGCTTTATATATAAAAAATCCTAAACAATTACGGATACCATATACATTTACTTTTACGCACCTTACGTGTTGGTGTTACTTTTTGTGTACTTAATGCTGGAACAGCCTTGATGTGAGGGCTAATGGTAAGACATTTTATTTCATTATTTCGGATTCCGTATATATTAGTGCACTAAATAGCTGTCTCAGTTTTTAACCCTACTATGTCATGCTTAAAGCTGCCTTAGAGTTCATTTTGTTGCGATTGCGAATGGTATGTTTCGTCTGAAGAGAACAGGAGAGAATACTCGTTTCACAGTTTTACACCGTACAACTTCTTCTAAAACGCTTCATTTTAACCTAATAGACCCAAGGGTCACCCTACAATACAAGTTAAAGGCAAAGGGGACGTGTGATTAAGAAGGTTTTAATTTATTATTTTTGTTTACATATAATAGCCTTTAGACTTTCAAATTGCTGTCTGTAAATCTACCCTTTAAGCTTGTCTTTTTAAAATCGGCTTTAGCTCAATGCTACCGGCAAGCATCCATTGTTGGATTTCATTCAAACTATGAATGAAATCTAACAAACCTGACTTGGCAATCATTTTATTATTCAAAATGTCCAGTGTTTTCTTTTGTCAATCATTAGGGCTTGACCCCCAGGTTAGGTCATTCGTTCAAAAAATATCAAATGTCAGGAGACTGAACATAAGATCATTAGGTGCCTGGAAAATAGGTAATCTCTTCACAACACAAACCGGAATGACATAAATTAATGAAGAAACTGCTCAAAAGTCCATAAAAAAATCTGAAAAGGGTTAAGCCGTTATCAGACCCTATCAGTATGTGCTCCATGCTCGACAGTGTTGTTTAAGAATTTAAATATTTGTTGGTTTTAATTTGCCCGTTTATGATAAGATATCTGTTTAAAATATGCACTCAGCTTTGTCACTTTGTCTACTTTTGTTGATAAGTTCTAATAGTCATTCTACTGTAGAACTCAGACAATTTAGGGGAACACATTGCTTTAGTTGGTTTGAACTGACTATATTTAATGAATAATTGATTTTACTTTAAAAGAAGGCTTCTTTATTTGTAAGGTTGTATTGTTTCCGGAAAAATTGGATTGTATTTGTAAGAAGAGGGGGGGGGGTGCAGATTCCTTACATGTACAGCTATTTTTAAAAATGACATACTTTATTGACCAGACGAATGAGGCTAGAATACCAAACCTGTTTTAATAAAAGTTATGGCAGACAGAAATTAGAAAAGGGCACAAGCCTGTAAACAACAGATGGTAACTGCTGTTGGGAAGCATTCTTCACAGTGCTTGATAACTTCTGTTAATTTGCCTTTAAAAGTAACAGTCTATCATGGTGGCTTTGATGTAGTAGCTCCCATGCTTGTGATAATGGAAGAAATAGTGCAAAGGACACAGCAGATGGCTGTAAACAACAGTGAGCTAGTAAGGAAACATTCTAACAAAGTGTCTTCGAAATCCATTGGCAAACAGGGGCAGGATTAACCTGCACAATGGGAGAAGTCAAACAAGGTCAGGGCACAGCTTCAAAGCAGGGAAAAACCTCCCTCCTGCAGCACATACGGATGTCTTAGACAGGTTATAGCTGAGAATCAATATAGGAATGAAACTAGTAGTTATTTTTTTTTTCTTTTTTTCCTGGGAGAGCACTGTAATTGGCACATTGTCGCAAGCAGTGCACCGTAAGAATATGTCTAGGTGATTATGCCAGAAGAAAAAGTGCCACCGAATATTTTCACTTCTAGTTAATTGTGTATTACACTAGAGAGGGATTAATGCGGGGCTGTGCAGTAGTCCTGTTGCAGCAGTGAATCCTGCTCTTCATTGTATCGTTGCTTCTTTCTTTTTTGACAGCTTATAGCCCTATAGGGTTCTGCTTTTGTTTTATATTGCAGTTTTTTAATAACACTTTATGAAACTCTGTATGATTGGTTCAGGTGGGTAGCTGCGTCAGCATGCGTAGGCTGCAAAGGAACGAGTAATAGGTTTTGCTCCATGCTGAAAAAAAGAAGAAAGAGAACGCAACGGTTTGGCCGTGAGCAGAAGGCTCCATGGCCGAAACGTTGTGTTCTCTTCTTTTTTTCAGCATGGAATAAACCTATTAATTGTTCCTTCTGTATGATTGGCTGTATATATATTGCTGCTGATGTTTTTTTGTCCTTTCCTGTAAACATCCCAGAACTTCAAAGTATCAAAAGCTTTTAGTGTCTGATTTAATGGGAAACTCAATATTACAGATGTTGGAAGATCCTTTTACCTTCCATCTTGGGGGAAACCTGAGGAGTGAGGTTTTTTTGAGGCATTTCTGAAAATGCACTTTATACTGGGACATACTTTGCCTTCTGCGTACTGGCTGTTTCCTGGCTGTTCCACAGGACCACCAGCCTGAGGGGACTACATATTTCTCCATGTGTTTATGTATTTGTTTTGGCCTCCAAGACTGCCTCAAATTCTTGTACGTCTCAGCACAGTAAAATCTCACATGACCATTATTTCATCCACATGAAAGTTATCTGTAGCTGTGTGTGTGTGTGCTGCAGTAGCTGTGATAATGAAAGTCGAATTTCAGTGATTATGCCAAAGCTCTCTTATTTTTGTTTAATCTTTTACAATTCACAAAAAGCAACTAGTTAACTTTAAAGGAAGTAAGCCGTGGTTTTGAAGGAGACCTTATCTCCCCCGAGTGGATGAGAAATTGTCTAGTGAAAAATCTCCTGGTAATTGTGTACTTTTGTAGTACTTTTGTGTCCCAAAGGGATTTTGATTTCCTGTTCCTTTTCAGATAACCTCTGCACACTTAGTTGTTAAAACCCATCATGAAAGTTGTTATAGTATGTACTCTAGGCAAATATCATGATTATTGTGAACAAAAGCTGAAAGCCCGAAAAGAAATGTCATTCATTAAGACCTGACAATTAGCCAGTGTGGGCTAGCCTTTGTGTATCCCTTATGTAAATTCATTGAATGCCATTTCTATTGTTTTCCAGAAGAAATTCATTAGCAACTACTGCATCCCTCACAGATCACCTTAATAAAAAGCCCACCAGACAACGGGTGCTAATGTTCTTCTCTTAAGCCTTTTATTATGTCTGCTATTCATTGGAAAAGAGCAATTATGAGTAAAAATGTATGTCAATGTGAGGTCAGTGTTGTTGAAAAGCCCAGGGAGGTTTATTTGTAAAAGTTGAAGTTATTTCCATACTCCCTGGAGTGCAAATCAGAATCATTGTTAAAAAATGAATTTGACTAGCTCTTCATTTTTTGACTACTTCTTTTGAGGTATAGTGTACCTCAAAGAGGTAAAGTGTTAATGAAAAAAATGTCTGAGGAATACAGGATTACTATAATCTTACAAACTCCAGAATAATCTTGCCAGGCCTTTGTACAAACTATAGAATTGTCTCTAGATTTTTGAGTTCACCCTAACTGAAATGCAATGCTTTTTTTGCATAAAAACAACTAGTACAATGATTGACTTACAGCACTTATACTCCCCAAAACAGTAAATTTATTATCTTGTAGCATGAAATATGTAAGTATATATATATATGGACAATGTGTAGGCTTTCTTCTATCAGAAAAGTGGTCAAACCTATTGTGTAAAACATAGTGGATACATTAAAGTAATTTTAGAGAATCTTGGTAAATGATTACAGATGTTGGATGTAGAAGTGTTACTATTAATGTTCACTGTATTGTTAAACCTTGAAGAGACCTGGGTACTATCACTGATGTCTGCCAGTATGTACAGTAGCTGGAAAAAGCCACAGGTGGCAAAGATGTATTTATATTATCAAAAGCCAACAGAAAATAAAAATGCTATTTCCCTTTGGTTGAGGTGTGTTAGTGTGCAGCCACAGAATCTGTAGAGTTCTCTATACAGCTTCATCAAAAGTGTAACAGAGCAGATTACATAGAGCGATTTGTTTTGATTATACAAGCCTTGTCTATTCATGTAGAAAAACATGGTTTTGTAAAAAATAAGTCTAGAAGGGAGAGATTTTCAATGAAGTTTAAGTAGCAATGAAATATTTTATTATTTCGGGGGCACTTGAAAAGCTATAGTTCCCCATTGAAAAGCTTATATTCCAGTGAAGTGTTCAACTGTGGAAGAACTGAGTCCTAGGATTAGGTGGCTCCTTGTCAGTTGCTTCCCTAGTGCTGCTGGTTTACTGTACCTTTTCATTAACCCTGCTATGTACAGTGCATGAGCAGCTGGGGTGAAGGGCCTTGCTCAGGGGCCCAACAGAGTATGATTCCTCTGCCGGCTGCAGGATTTGAACCAGCAAACTTCCAGCCACAGGCGCAGATCTTTAGCCACAGAGACACATTAAATTAGGCTTGTTCTGTTTTTATTTTCAGTAACCCACATTAGCCAAGTGAAAATGAAATTCTGAAAATGGATTAATATTACAACAGTAAAATACCTTATTTGGATAAGTGAACACCCCCTTACAAAATTGCATTTGTAAACTTGTTCAGGTACTGTATAACCAATCACCTTACAGATCACACAACAAACTAATTAGCTCCCACCTGTGATCAATTGTGTTGATTTTGATTAGTTGAATAAAAGCAGCAGTCTTTAGAGGATTCCACTGCTTGGAAGTGCATTTCAAAGCAAAGAGTCCACTATGGGCGGAAAGGTGCTTTCAAAAAAACTTTGAGATAGTTGTGGAAAGGCACAAGTCAGGAGACCATGGAGCACAGTCAAGACCATCATGTGGAAGTGGAAGGCGTATGGTACCACCCAGACCTTGCCTAGATCAGGCCGTCCCTCCAAACTGGATGACTGAGCAAGAAGGAGACTGATCAGAGAGGCTATCAAGAGGCTGATGGCAACATTGAACGAGCTACAGGCCTTTATAGCAAAGACTGGTCATTGTGTGTATGTGACAGTATTGCAAGCGCTCTACAAATCTGGCCTGTACTGGAGGGTGGCAAGAAAAAAGCCACATCAAATCTAGTTTTTGTTAAAAAGCACATTATTTATTCTGTGGCCAAGGGGCAAAAGGTGCTGTGGACAGGTGAGGCCAAAATTGAACTTTTTGGCCGGAATGCAAACGGTATGTTTGGTAAAAACCCAATGTGTCTTACCATCCAAAGAACACCATTCCTACAGTAAAGCACGGTGGTGGCAGCATCCTGTTGTGGGGGTGTTTCTCTTCAGCTGGGACTGGGGCACCTGTCAGGATAGAAGGGAAGATGGATGGTGTAAAATACAGGCAAATTCTTGAAGAAAACCTGCAGCCCTCAGTCAGGAAGCTTAAAATGGAAAGATGGTTCACTTTTCAACATGACAATGACCCAAAGCACACTGCCAAAGCAACTGTACAGTGGCTGAAGGACAGGAAGGTGAATGTCCTTGAGTGGTCTAGTCAGAGCTCAGACCTAAATCCCATCAAATCTTTGGAATAACTTGAAAGAGGGCAGTCCATTAATAGTCACCACACCGTTTGACTGAGCTTGAACAATTCTGCAAGGAGAAATGGGCAAATATTCCTCCCTCTAGGTGTGCAAAGTTTTTAAGATGTATCCAAACAGACTCAAGGCTATAATTCAAGTAGAAGGTACTTATACCAAGTAGTACTTTTTTTAGGACATTTTGTGTTCTTTTTTTTCTCTTGGATGTTGCAAGGTACAATTTGTGAATAAAACTGGATAAGGTCTGTTTTTATTTTTATTTTTTTGGGGCTTAAGGGCCACAAAAGGTGAACATTTTGAAAGGGAGTGGTGACTTTCTATACCCAATGTGTGTGTATTTCTAAAATTGAATGCAAGTCAGTGTCACTGCGGTATTGTCCTGTTATTTCTGTGCCTGTGTTCTCGTTTTCAATGAGTACATGGGTATCCCCTGAGATTCTAACAGTCTTTTCCCAGCAGGCGATGGACACTACGGGTGCACAGGAGACTGACATTGTTAATCTTGCAATCACATGCCTCCTCCTCTCATCATTCCATTAGTATTATTGTTCCAGTTAGGGTTGACGGGTTATCTGTAGCTTCCAATGCCCTTTAGTTGCCCTGTAGCAATAGTGGAAATATGAAACCTTTCTTGTTGGTGCTGTTTTCTTTTCTTTGCTCAGACAGCTGCTGTAGAACAAACTAAAGTTTCCTAACAAACAAAAGGAACACATTGTGAAGCAAAGCCGTTGCTTATTTTAAGAATTTATTTAACAATTGCTGCAGAGCCGAAAGAATAGATTTCTCTATTTGTAGTCATGAATGGATTAAATAAAAAGCAAACAACAAGGGAGGAGTGTTTTTGAGAATACATTTGGCTTTCTGTTTAAAGACACTGTGAAAAAGATATGAAACATTCCTCTCAGCTCAAAGATTGTCATCATTGGCCATAGCTATTCTGTAAGAAGCCCAGTGATTGAGAATACTCACTGATGTGCTGAGAGAGCATGGTTTTTCAGCATGGCACTGAATCCCCTACTGTGAGCATTTGACTGAAATCTCTAAGGGTGTTCAGTGATGTGTTAAGAAGTGAGATCACTGCATTTCTTTTTTTTTCGACTTCAAGGTTAAGAAGAAACAACTTTTAAATCCAAAAAAGTTTTAAAGCAATGCATTAAGTAATTGCACTAAAAAAATCTTGATGGGTTTTATTCATGTCCCCATGTCTCTTAAAGCAGGAGAGTTGATGTAAATATCTGAAAAGCATACCCTGAAATGTCTGCAGTGAAAACAGGTTATTGTAAGTTGGGGAAAATAATTTACAAAACCACAGCACTGCTCAGTTATTTATATGAATAAAAACAGCTATTGAAAATATGACAATGAGAATGTTTTGATTAACACATTAAGCTTTACAAATGGGATATATTAATTTATTAATAGAGCATAAATGTAGTAACTCTACTGAAGACTAATTGTATGTCAAAACCATAATCCTGACTATATCCTATACTACACCTCTAACCCTGGGGTTATTTGCAGAGGGAGCATGTTCCCTCTATAATAAGCAGCTGTCTTATCAACTTATGAAATGTGATTTTGCAATTCCTAAAATGTGACTGTGAGCAATGTAAATTCAGATCTATTTGTAGTGGTCTTTCCCACTTTAAATCCTTTATGTTATCAACTTACAATTCATAGGCACAATAAAGTGTTTAACAAATAGATATTACAATCACAGTTAATTATTCTATAATGTCCAGTAGCATCTCACAGTAGTGCTTATTAGTCTTTGCTTTACTTATCAATCACTGTAGAGAAGATTTAAGCAAAGACCTCTCATGTACTTTGTCTGCATTTTTCATTTTGTTTAATTTTACTTTTGTCAGTTGTCATCCCAGAATCAAAAGCTGCAGCTATTGATGTTTTTAAAACTTTACGGAAATGCTTTTTATCCTTGTTATAAGAGCGGTTAAAATTTCCACAAAATGCAGTTTTACAGAATTGTCCTTCTTTCTTTAAATGCCCTTATAAAAAAAATACATTGCCAAAAAAAGCAAGCTCTCCCACTGTCTCTCAAAACTTAGGCAGATGCATGACTATGGTTTTGGCCGAATCCTATCCTGAAACAGAACTTCTGCAACATGGGTTTCCCGTTTATTGTATGAAAATGCTGTTTCATTGCTGCTGGAATGTTTAGTGTGCCTGTCCTTAACGTGACCTGTTCCTGACTGCACTTGAGGAGGATGTGTGGACATTGAGACAGTCTGCATCCTATAATGAGTCAGAGGAAGTTTGTGTGTACAGTTTGGATGCCGCTTATTGTTGGTCATTTATGCGCTTTCTTGACTCAAAGGATAGTGTGATAAAGTTCAATAAGAACACTTTATCAGAGCCTGTTTTGAAATTTCTGTTGCATGAAAAATGAGTGGCTCAGTCTGATTGCTTTTGATTCATGTACGTGATTAACAGACACTTTCTTTTACAGGGGTGCAGCCCATTTGAAGGTGGAGTGTGCATTGGATAGGGGATCTGAAGCACAGCCAGCCAGCTTGTTTGGCGCCTTGTGAGCTGCTTTCATGAGGTAACGGTGGGGAAAAGTGGAAAAGGGACCCCCACTCCCCACCCCCAAAACAACCAGTGCTCCCCCACCCCCTCACCCCCTGTCCTCCTTCGGCTCTGCGGTCAAGCGATGGGTCAAAAAATCTCAGGGAGCATAAAGTCTGTCGATGTGAGGGAGCCCGCGTACCGACCGGTCAAACGGGAGCTAAGGGGTCCTGACTTTTGCAAGCCAGCCCGCCTCGACATGCTACTGGACATGCCATCTGCGACCTTGGACGTCCAGCTGAAACACGCCTGGAACAACGAAGACCGCTCGCTTAACATCTTCGTCAAGGAGGACGATAAGCTGACCTTCCACAGGCACCCTGTCGCGCAGAGCACGGACTGCATTCGGGGGCGTGTGGGCTACACTAGGGGCTTGCACGTTTGGCAGATCCACTGGCCCACCAGGCAGAGGGGGACTCATGCTGTGGTGGGGGTGGCGACTGCGGAGGCCCCCCTGCACTCTGTGGGGTACACCTCCCTCGTGGGCAGCAACTGTGAGTCGTGGGGCTGGGACCTGGGGCGCAACAAACTGTACCACAACAGCAAGAACCAGCCAGGGGAGACCTACCCTGTGTTTTTGGAACCGGATGAATCTTTTGTGCTGCCCGATTCTCTGTTGGTGGTGCTGGACATGGATGAGGGGACACTGAGTTTTATAGTGGATGGGCAATATCTGGGAGTGGCCTTTAGAGGACTCAAGGGGAAAAAACTCCATCCCATCGTCAGCGCGGTGTGGGGGCACTGCGAGATCACAATGCGATACATCAATGGCCTTGATCGTAAGTTTATTTTTGTTGGTTTTTTTTAGGGGGGTAATGCTTTTGCACAGGGAGTGTGTAGGTGGTGGCTTCTGTATTGTTTGCATTAGTTATTGTGTTATGCCTGTAATCGAACCTTAATACAGGAAGAGGCAAGCCTTTGCAGGAAGGTGGTTTCATATCTGAAAGCTTCCCTGAGAGAAGGCAAGACTTCTGGAAATGTTGACTCGTCCACCCTCATAATGGATAATCTTCCCGTTATGTGATGAAAGTTTATTTGACACGTACAATCTCTATGAAACTTGAGGAAAAGATGTGCCTGCTGCAATAGGCATGACAAAATATTCTAGAAGTGGATCAATCATGCAGGAGATGAGGGTAGAATATTTTGTACCTGTGCATTTATATAGACTTTATAGAATTGCCCACTTCTAACATCTGATGCACAAAGCAGTTATTAACCTTGGGCTGCTATAGAGCATTGGCCTTTTAATCTCTTCACAGTCAGGATGTTTAAATTTGGATTACAAAATAGCATTTGACTATTCCTTTTAACTGGGGTGGTACACAGTGGTGCTTAAAACCAACAATGTTTCAAATGCTCTTGGAAACCATACTGTAGGCAGAATTCCAATCGGGCTGACTCGTCTCTTTGATTGACACAGTCCTTTCTGCTTTGCATGAGGCTTGTGATTATGATTAAAATAGAAATGGTAAGCGCTCTTACTTCCTGGAATTAACTTTTTTTTTTACAGTTTACCCTCAAACCATTCTAAATTCAACTGGCTATTGTTTTCACAAAGGAATTAACTCATTGATAGTGAGTCTTCCGTTAAAAATGGGAAGAAACTGATACTTTTACATGTTTAAGGAAACCTTTTGTTCTAAATATACCACGAGGAACAAATTCTGTGTCATGTATGTACACTTCACAACATCATATTTTTCAAAAAATAAATCTTGCTAAATGTTTGAAGTGAATCTGTGTGCCTATATTAGAAAAGCACCAAATGTCTAGTCAACTTAAGAGATGGAGTACAGAGCTATTATAGAGTACTGTCCCTTTCAACAGACATCTATAAAACCGAAGTAAATGAGAGAGAAAAGTAGTGAAAATTACATGTGACTGACAGGGTGATGGCTCATAACAGGATGAGGAATTTACAGTCTGCAAAACCTGAGTTTCCAGCCAAGACCTTGTTAAACTGCAACAGAAAGAATTGTGATTTTGGTTTAATAAAAGCACTTTAGGTTTGCAGATGAAATGCCACTTTGAAGGACCTTACATACATTTTTTTAAGACCTGCTTAAATGGAGCATGAAAGTAGGGTTTTAATAGTCCCATCAGCTCCTGAAAAACTTTTGAATGCTAATTCCCATCTCATTTGATAACAGTACAGTACACAGAAGTCTGTGCATGTACTGCCAGTGACGAGCATTAATCTCTTGTATTGGGGAACTCAAGCTTACTTAATATCAAACATTTTAGTAAAGCTACAGATGAAAAGTTGTTGGCAGAAAATTTTCAAATGTGAACTGATCATCCTTTATAATTCTCTGCAAATTCTTAACATAGGACTTTGATTGAAGTCTCATTTTATGTTGTCAGCTTATTCTACCAGTTACACCATCGAAACGTGCTATTATTACTTGCTCGGGGACAGGATCCGTAAAAAGGAGGTAAATGTGAGTTTTGAACATTATGCCTCTTCCAAAACTTCAAGTAAAACCAAGCTTTTTCTGAATGAAAGCAAACTTGCATTTTTCAAACCCTTTGCTTTCTTGTTAGCATATAAGAAATATGTAGAAAATATGTTTTCTGAGGTAAAAAATCATGAGTCGGGGATGATGGCTGTGCATGGAAAGAATAACAATGAAAAATGCAATAATTCATCTTGTGATGCAGGACAAGGTGTGTGGACATTGAATGAAAGATATTTTAATTGAGGAATGGTTTAAAGTGAGATATATTGCACATTGTTAGGATGTATAATTGATTCCAAGTCATTATTCTGGATATGCATATTAACTGGTTCAGTAAATCACTAATTTCAAGTGCTCATCAGACATTTGGTCACCATTGTCTTCATTTGCATGAACAAAATTACAGTACAGAAAACCAATTGTTTTCTACCTACGGCCAGCAGCCATATCACCCTGCAACTCACAACTGGCAACCCACTGAAGCTCAGCAGGTGTGAGCCTGGTCAGTACCTGGATGGGAGACCTCCTGGGAAAAACTAAGGTTGCTGCTGGAAGAGGTGTTAGTGGGGCCAGCAGGGGGCGCTCACCCTGTGGTCCATGTGGGTCTTAATGCCCCAGTATAGTGACGGGGACACTATACTGTAAACAGGTGCCGTCCTTCGGATGAGACGTAAAACCGAGGTCCTGACTCTCTGTGGTCATTAAAAATCCCAGGGCGCTTCTCGAAAAGAGTAGGGGTGTAACCCTGGTGTCCTGGCCAAATTTCCAATTGGCCCTTACCAATCATGGCCTCCTAATAATCCCCTTCTATGAATTGGCTACATTACTCTGCTCTCCTCCCCACTGATAGCTGATGTGTAGTGAGCGTTCTGGTGCACTATGGCTGCCGTCGCATCATCCAGGTGGATGCTGCACATTGGTGGTGGTGGAGGGGAGTCCCCATTACCTGTAAAGCACTTTGAGTGGAGTGTCCAGAAAAGTGCTATATAAGTGTAAGCAATTATTATCATTATTATTATTATTATTATTATTGTGCTTTTATCGTATTGCTTAACTTTCTCTTATCAGTAATTGCAGTATTTCAGAAATACAGTAGCAACCTGATAGCAAGTCCTAATCAATCAGTGATACAGGTCTAATCTCCCAATCTCAGAGTTTGTCCCCAAGATTATGGCTAATCATTTATTATTAATGTATGGTGTTTTGTATGAGAAGGAGATTCCAGGATTTATCCATCCATCCACCAATTTTCAAATTGCGTCATCCAGTGCGGGGTTGTGAGGGAGCCAGGGTACACCCTGACCGGGAAGCCTGTCCATCACGACACGCACACGCACACGTGTGGGAACCCATGCAAAGACAAGGAGAGCATACAAACTCCACACAGATACCACTCCAAGCCTGGAATTGAACCCAGGGCCCCAGTGCTGTGAGACACATTGCTAACCACTGTTCTCAGATTTACGGGATGTTCAGTCAAATATATATAGTACATACATGTTGCAAGTTATGATCCTTTGCATCTTTGTAGCCATATTGTTCTGGGAGCAGAACAGACGAGGCTGAATGTCAGTCCCTACTGTTTGCCCTGATTAGAAACTTGGCAAAGTGTAGAATCTGGGCCCAGTCTCGCCAACTCCTTCTCTTTGCATTCGTCGAGCGGTCTTTGAGTGGTGCCACAAAAACTTCTATTGTTCGATTGGGGATAAATTGGAAGGAAGAAAGAATTCGGGAGTTGACGTTCCGTTCGTTCTAACATATGTTTTTTGTTTATTAAACATGGCATTTTTTCATTTGGTCTTTTTTCCAGTGATCTCTTAAAAAAAAAAAAATCAAATCAGGTTTGCTCAACAACAGGGAAACAGATGGGCAATCAAAGACCCGAGGTTTGTTGAAACCAAAGGGTATCTCATCGTTTGTTTTTTTTCACTTTCCATCTCCCGAACATATTACACAAAACAAAACATGAGACAACTGTGGATGGAAATGAACAAAATGTTCACAACCCTGTGCCAAGAATCTCAGAATCTGGAAGGTTTCCTGAGCTTTCTGTGTAAGGCAAAGGAACTAAACATCAAAAAGTCTAGTGCTCTTGAAATTCCTGAGATGGGTAGAAAGCTCTAGTAAATAACTATTATGTACGATTGTAATAAAGGATGCCATTGTACATGGGCATAACATTGAACTTGCCTGAATAAAACTCCCAATGTGTTAGACATATTCAGAATTTAGCTTGGAGGGTAGGTTTGGCAATAATACACTACCCTTGCTTGTTACCATGCTGTGATATTTAAAACCCATGTAATTAAATGGCTGTCAAGAAAATAAAAACAAATTGGTTGGGTGGCTTTAATGGAGTGCAGCCCTTATAATTAAATATGTAATATTCAGTGTATCTTTTCAGTTGAATACCAGCTATTTTTGTTGCGCTTCTGGTAACGTAATCTACGTTCATGCTAGGCTGGAGTATGACTCGTTTATTGGTGATTGAATTAGCTAATGAGCTTTTTAACTGTTAAAGCTCATCTAACTTGTAATTGAACCTGCTAATTAGTTTTTAAATACAGTATTGCCATACTGCAAAATGTACCAATTTATTCCAAAGAAGATCACAGGAAAAATAGAAACAACGAAAGCTTATTTTTTACAGTGTCTTTTCGGATTCATAAAGAAAACCAAGGATTATGACCTGCTACCTTGGGCAAATAGTCCTATATAATTATCTGGGTCACTAGATTAAAATGTAAGTGTTATGCTAGGACACTTATCAGTGTACTGTCTGCAAAAGTGTCTGCTTGGCTTCCTTAATGCACTCACAATGGAGCCTTTGTATGTTTGTGTCTCTCAATAGTGCATTTGTTTGTCTCCCTCTCATCCAGTATGGGGAAAAATGTAAACCTTTTGTACCAACACAGTCTAAAATGCAAGTGTCCAGTGCAGGAAATGATATGCAGTTACAGAGGTATAATGTTGTTGCTCTCCTGATAGGCTAAGCATTATTCTGTCTGAATGGCTAGCTACATGTTGTTCACTCCAATTAAGGGTTTATAGATGCCTTTTGTTTTCTAGACAATGTAAATGACACAATTCTGCAGCATATACGACATAAAAAACGAATTGATGGACCAGCTAATGTATATGTATAATGTATCTTGTTAATGATGAATTATTGAAAAATGTAGTGTTGCGTGTGCAGCACATTTAATTAATATTATGGGATATAGTTTAGATCATTGAAGCTCTTTGAATACACAACTACTGCGTTTGAGGCCATTAGGTTACTTGTGCCATCCCAAGTTCCTGCTGTAAACATAGCA